ATGGAACCAAACTCCTGAAGGACCAAAACTCAATTGCACTACGTTGGAAAGAACACTACCAAAGCCTCCTGAACCGCAGCTCCAATGTGGCCGAGGAGGTCCTCTCACAAATCCCACAACAAACCAGGGATGAGCTTGCAGCACTGCCTAGTTTGAAAGAAGTCAGCAATGCCATCAGCCAGCAGAAGAATAACAAAGCCAGTGGACCAGATGGGATCCCTGCTGAAATCTTTAAAGAGGGAGGACCTGAGCTGACACACCAACTCCACCAGCTCATTGAAAAAGTGTGGGTGACCGAGAAAATCCCAGCAGATTTCAAGGATGCCACCATCATCACCCTCTTCAAAAAAGGGGAAAGAACAGACTGCGGAAACTATCGAGGTATCTCCCTTCTAACCTCCGCTGGGAAAATCCTCGCAAGAATCCTTGCAAACCGCCTTCTGCCCCTCTCAGAAGACACCCTCCCAGAATCCCAGAATGGCTTCCGCCCCTCCAGAGGAACCGTGGACATGATCTTCACTGCACGACAGCTCCAAGAAAAATGCAGGGAACAAAACCAACCTCTGTACATGGCATTCATCGACCTTGCAAAGGCATTCGACACAGTGAATCGCAGCGCTCTCTGGACCATCCTCCACAAAATCGGGTGCCCTAACAAATTTGTGAACATCCTGCGGCTCCTCCATGATGACATGATGGCAACAGTCTTGGACAGCAATGGCTCCCAAAGTGACCCATTTAAAGTGGAATCCGGTGTCAAACAGGGATGTGTTATTGCCCCAACTCTATTCTCCATCTTCATTGCTATGATACTTCACCTTGTTGATGGGAAGCTTCCCACCGGAGTGGAAATAATCTATCGGACAGATGGCAAGCTATTCAACCTCAGCAGACTGAAAGCCAAAACCAAGGTTACAACAACAGCTGTTATAGAACTCCAGTATGCTGATGACAATGTCGTCTGTGTGCATTCAGAAGAAGATCTACAAGCCACTCTAAACACCTTCGCAGAAGCATATGAGAAGCTCGGCCTGTCACTGAACATTGAGAAAACCAAGGTGCTGTTCCAGCAGTCACCAGCCAATCCCTCTCCAATGCCAGTAATACAGCTTAATGGTGTAACATTAGAAAATGTGGACCATTTCCGCTACCTTGGCAGCCACCTCTCCACCAAAGTCAACATCGACGCCGAAATACAACAAAAAATACGGTATGTAGCAGGAATATAGTGGAAGCAGGCGGTAGCATCCAAAATCTCCTCGTTGGGATTTTCTCCAGGTCTACTATTAGCTATGGATTACAATCAAGCCAAAGCACTTATTAAACAACGTATCACAGACACAGAGTGCCAACTAGAGCTGGCCTCGGCTCCAACCTTCCTTGTCAGTGAAGACAGCAGATACCTTGCCTCCCCTATGGCATATTTAACATACTTAGAGATTCCTATTCATCAGAGGGCTTTCACCCTGGCCCGATGCCACGCTCTCCCATCAGCTGTACTCGAGGGCTGCTACCGGAAGATCCCTTTCCCAGAGAGGCTCTGCCCCTATGACTCGGGTCATGTGGAAACAATAGAACATGTGCTCCTTCAGTGTCCGTTCTACAGGGATATCCGTGCCAGGCTTATCTTACCCCTGATAGACAAGCACCCAGGCCATTCAGGACAATTTTATACCTCCCTGCTACTTGCGGATACTAATTCAGCTACAACCTACAATGTCGCAAAGTTCTGTGCAGCAGCATACAAAATCCGCCAGGGAATGACTAGTTCCAAAAGTCAACTGTGTGTCCAGTAATCTTCTTCCCTGAATCTACAATTTGGTGATGGATCTGGGCATTGTATGTTTTTACCCTGTTTCCCCTTCTGCTCCCTCACCCATATTGTGTTTTTAGTAGTTGTATTTATATTTTTAATGTACCAGACATGCCAGGTTTGTATGGAAATGTGACACTATTTCCTGTGCTGGTCAATGACCGAAATAAATGTTTTGATTAGTGGAATAGGGAGCTATTGACATATTTTATCAATCAATAGCTAGGGGCAGGAGATTTATGGAGGGGACAAAACGATAGCAGGATTCACATCTTGTGATACGGGCCAGGTGGATTGCCAGTTTGCCTGCCTAGTGTGATAAAGTCCTCATTCTTACTGTTTCATATTGGAAACTATACCAATTTGCTATGCCTTGAAAGATGACTAAGAAATCAATGAAACTACAATCATGATGCCCTCTCTAAGATAAAATACTAAATGCTGGATTTCAAGGAAATAATATGTTTAAAATATTGCCTCCTTCACTTGAGCTGCAACATCATGGTATAGATTGTTAGATGCAGAATTAATGGAGTTTGACACCACTTTAACGGCCATGGCTCAATACTATGGAATTCTGGGATTTGTAGTTTAGTGAGGCATCAGCTCTCTTTGGTAGAGATGGTTAAAAACCTTTGAAAACTACAATACTCATTATTTTACAGACGCATCCGTAGTTTAGTTTATGTATGGGAAAATAGTAGTGATAGTCTGGAACAATATCTAGAAGGCAATATGTTTCCCGTTCTTGAATTAATATGAGTCACGGACAAACTCCTAGAGATGCAAAAAGGAACCAGAGTAAAAGAAAAGCACAAAAAGTGGTGGGGAAGGAAAATGAACCACTGGATATAGTATGGGAGCCAGTAGAGACATATCTATGCCAAAGAGATGACAGAACCAAAGAACATGAGAAATTGCAAGTCTATCAGGAGAGAGGTTGGGGCCTGCAAATGGATTAGTAAATGTAGCACACATTTCAATGTAAATGCCAATACTGCCATCTTCTGTTTGTAGTCTTGCACTGCAAGCAAGAACTGGAGTAAATAATTTTGTTTTTGTTAGCATAGGATATTTGAAGTTGTTTCAGGTTTTGATCACAGGTTAGGAAGACCATTACAAACCTACTCAAAACAAATCTTGCCAAGAAAACCCTATGGACTCCAAGGATTGTCAAATCTTACGACGACTTGAAAGCACACCTGGTGTGGGAGAACACTTGCCTCAAACAGACAAGAGTTCTTTCCCCCACCCTGGACATTTCACAGATATATAAACCTCACTTGCGTAGTTTCCAACAGACCTCACAACCTCTGAGGATGCCTGCCATAGATGTGGGCAAAATGTCAGGAGATAATGCTTCTGGAACATGGCCATACAGCCCGGGGGGGGGGGGAGTAGATATAAATAAATATAAGCTTTACCACAGTTTCTGAATCAAAATAAACACTGCAGTATAATAAAGTGTCACTTGGGCTTGTGTTTCAAGTAACAGAATCTTTACTTCCATTCAAAAGATCAAACAGGGCAACAATATATCCAGCAATACCTCTGAATTCACACAGAAAACAGATAGAATAAACAGTCCGTTCAAAACAGTCTTTAAAACATGTTTCATGCCTTAGAAATTATCAAGCTTCAGAGAGTTGACAGCCATTTCCTTCCTGGCTGTTTCCAGTCAGCACTCTCTTCATTCTCATACCAGGAGCCAGAATCAGAATTCTGGCTCCTGGTATGCTCAGCCAATCAGCTGCCGACACATGCCTCTCCAGTCAACCCACCACATTATGGTGTCTTTTTACAAACCCTCACAACCTGGAAGGCACTGAGTTGTCTGTGCTCTGGAACCAGGAGATGCAGAGTTAACCTTAACTCTGTGGAGTCCACGACATACAAGAGTGGAGCAGAGCAAACCACAGACCACCTATTACAATGCAGTATGAGCCCTGCCACATGCACAATGGAGGACCTTCTTACAGCGACACCAAAGGCACTCAAAGTGGCCAGCTTCTGGTCAAAGGGAATTTAGTATCATGCCAAGTTTTTAACTTTGTTTGTGGTTTTTCTATACATTATAGCTGTACTCTCAATTTGGGTCTGACACAATAAATAAAGGAGTTGAGACATGACCACCAGAACAAGGCTCTAATTCTAATATGAATTAAAATTCTATTATGATAAAATCATATGCTATTTTGGAGAATCTACATAGACCAATCTCGATAAAATAGTGAAGAATAGAGACATCACATTGGCAACTATAGTTAAAGCAATGGTATTCCCCATAGTCACCTACAGATGCAAGAGCTGGACCATAGGGAAGGCTGAGCAAAGAAAGATAGATGCTTTTGAATTGTTGTGTTGGAGGAAAGTTCTGAGAGTGCCTTGGACCGCGAGAAGATCCAACCAGTCCATACTTCCGGAAATAAAGCCTGACTGCTCATTGGAGGGAAGGATATTAGTGGCAAAAATGAAGTATTGTCGAAGGCTTTCATGGCTGGAATCACTAGGTTCTTGTGGGTTTTTTCGGGCTATAGAGCCATGTTCTAGAGGCATTTCTCCTGACGTTTCGCCTGCATCTATGGCAAGCATCCTCAGAGGTTGAGAAGGAAAAATGAAGTACTTGGGCCACATCATGAGAAGACAGGAAAGCTTAGAGAAGACAATGATGCTGGGAGAAATGGAAGGAAAAAGAAAGAGGGGCCGACCAAGGGATGGTATACTTGAAGTGACTGGCTTGACTCGGAAGGAGCTAGGGATGGTGATGACCAACAGGGAGCTCTGGCATGGGCTGGTCCATGAGGTCACAAAGAGTTGGAAGTGACTGAACAAATAAACAACAACAAACATAGTCCAGCCTAGGGAAGATCTGATCCAGGGAAGAGGAAGCATTGCCCTGTGCAGGGATAAAAATCTGTAGCTATAAATTAACGCAAGTGATTCCTCCTTCCCACTTACAGTAGCCTTACATTTTCAATTAATGAAGATGTAAGACCCCATCTTCAAGGAATGCAGATGTAAGGCCACTGGTAAAAAATCCTTTTCCCTTTTAAAAATGGGTGAAAGTTCTGAGAGCAGGTCCATAACAGGGATTTCAAGTTATATTGAGTTAAGTGGCATGTTTTGCAGGATTTAACCTGGAGACATAAGGCTCCTACAAGTAATCTCTTAGCCATGATTAGGGATGTTGTGGAGATTAGCAAAGCTGGTGTCCAGAAGTGGCCATTTTCTCTGGGTAACCGAAATGACAGCAGCCTTTTCCCGGAGAGTGTAGGATTCAGCCTCCCCTTGGCCTGGCTATACCTCTCCTTTTAAGAAGATGCCCCAAACTCCAAAACAGGTTAGTGGCTTTATTATCAATTCACAGGGACTTGAAAGAAAAATATACATTGGGAAAGGGAACAAGAAACTCTCTTCTCTTACTTAACTTCAACCGTGTCACATTTCTAATATTTTTAAACAACCTTTTCATCTCCTGTGGGCAAATTTGTGCAGTATAATTCTAAGATGGGAAATTACACAAACCTTCAGATTTTGCAAAGTGTTGCACTTGGTATAGTTTTTTAAAGTGTACATTTAACACAATCCTATACATGTCTATTCAAAACCAAACCCCACTGAGATCAATAGGTCTTATTTTATGGTATACATCACACTGAAATGAGGAAAAGGTAAATGAAATTGTGCAATAATTGTTCCTTTCCTTTTACTGGGGGAAAAACATTTTTTCACCATTTATACAGAACAGAGAGAGAAAAACAAAATGTGTAATATGGGGCAATAATAATGAAACATAGTTGTGAATGCTCACTAAGATTAAAGATAGGTCTTATCTCCATATTCAATAGGTATATAAAAAGCTCTACAATTGCTTCACATTTCTAATAAACATATGCAGTGATATTTATAAATATCTTATTAGAAGTAAGGCTTGCATAGGATTGCATTTTTCAATTAAAATATTATATATAGAGTTGTTGTAAGTTTTTCAGGCTATATGGCCATGTTCTAGAAGCATTCCCTCCTGACATTTCGCCTGCATCTATGGCAGGCATCCTCAGAGGTTGTGAGGTCCGGAGAGAATGCTTCTAGAACATGGCCATATAACCCGAAAAACCTACAACAACCCAGTGATTCCGGCCATGAAAGCCTTCGACAATACATTATATACAGATATTACACATAGAAAACATCACTGTAATTTTGTTATTGCTTTAATGATATTTAAGTAGTTTTACTTTTGATACATGAGCCCCCGGTGGCGCAATGGGTTAAACCCTTGTGCCGGAAGGACTGAAGACTGACAGGTGAGAGGTTCAAATCCGGGGAGAGTGCGGATGAGCTCCCTCTGTCAGCTCCTGCTCCCCAAGCTGGGACATGAGAGAAGCCTCCCACAAGGATGGTAAAACATCAAAACATCCGGGCGCCCTCTGAGCAACGTCCTTGGAGACGGCCAATTCTCTCACATCAGAAGCCACTTGCAGTTTCTCAAGTCGCTCCTGACATGAAAAAAAAAGTTGTGATACAATAATGGACTGCATTAACAATGCAATCTATCAGGTTTATCTAGAATGAAGGAAAGGTTAACCTTTCAAAACAAATTTTTAAAAGAACTATTAATAAAAATGAGCTGGCTGTATTTAGTCTTATCCATGTCCTCTCACACAGCACTTATTTCTAATGGGTAAACCACTTAATGTACTGAGGTCCTGAGTTACTTAATTCATCATACTGTAGCAAGTCAGCCTTGACTAGCAAATTTCCAGGGTCAAGGAGTTTTCATAACTGGCTTATTGTACACATTGTTCGAATAGTACCAAGACATTTATTTAAACCAGTTGTTTCTAAGTGATACCTTCATTATTATGAAAATGCTGACATTTCCAAAAGTATCATTCATGTTCTCTATAAGTACGAGAGGAAAATGTGAATATCCAGTTGGAAAATTGCTTGAGATAGCATGTGAATAAAATAATTTGCCTCATATATGGATATTGACATAAGTATTCTAAAGAACCCAGATTCTATCTGATTTTGGAAGCGAAGCAGGGTTAGCCCCACTTTAGTGGGAGACTGCGAATGAATACCACGTGTCATAGGCTATATTTTAGAGGCAAGCATGGGCAAAACTCTCTCTTGAGTATTCCTTGCCTAAGAAAACCCTATGAACTTAATGGGGTTGTCCTACATGGAAAGCTATGATATGAATGTTGGCAGATCTCATGGCTTGGCTCTGAGGCTCATTTTTGTCTCCCAAAGGGAGACAAGGGTTCAAATTCTCAAGTTTTGTGGGTTCAGCTCCAGGCAAGAGTAAAAGTTGTGGTGCAAATCTTCATCTCAGTTATGAGATCACCAGCATCCTACAATTTGAAAGGTTGAACCAATTTATTGTCAAAAGTTTCATGGCTGGAATCACTGAGTTGCTGTGAGAACAACATTCAAAAACAGGGAATTCCAGACAAGAAACAATCAGGGCCAGCTAATCACCTCCCAACAATGGATTCCCCCAGGCAGAAAGCAGCCAAGCTTTGAAGCTTCAAGGCTATTCAGTGCTAATCAATGTGATTAATTGCAGCATTCACACTTGCCTCAAACAGACAAGAGTTCTTTCTCCCACCCTGGACATGCCACAGATATATAAACCTCACTTGCCTTGGTTCCAACAAACCTCATAACCATAGATGTGGGCGAAATGTCAGGAGAGAAGGCTTCTGGAACATGGGCATACAGCCCAGAAAATTCACAGCAACCAGTTGAACCAATTCATTACCACAACTTGCAAAGACTCTTCAAGGGATCTACATGCTTTCCTTGGTCATTAGCTTTCTCCTTCCCTCCAGCCATTAGTGAAGCAGGGATCACTTGCTGGCCAGAAATAAGTAGCCTAGGTCATTGTTGTTGTGTGCCTTGAAGTAATTTCCTACTTATGGTGAGCCTATCACGGGTTTTTCTGAGGCTGAATGTATGACTTACCCTGTTCCTTATCCTTTCTTGCTATGTACATGAGACAAAATAATCCTCTCGTTTCACCTTTATATTAGGTTCTGTCCTAGTCTCCAAACAGGTATTGATTTCTTTGCATATTTATGTATGTGGTTGAATGACAGATTGTGAGGACCTATGTTTGGTACAGTATGCATGCTTAAATACATCACCAGGGGAAGTCCTCAGGTCTCAGGATTTTGGCCTGGAAACTTCAGAGCTTGGGCGATTTTCAACTGGAAAGCCTAAAATGGATATTTTCTTGCCAAAGAGCCATGGGATTGATTGTGTTTGGTTGGGGAACAGAAGGTATAATCTTCACTTTCCAAGTTTTCTGTGTTTTCCCACCACTTCTGTGATTTTTCTTCACATCACTGAAAACAAACTCTCCATGGTTTTTCTGTGTCTCTCCAAATCTGCCTATTTCTTTTCAATTTCCCAGGCTTCCTGGAAATCTTAGCTGGGATGTAGATGCCTCTGGGAAACTGAATGTTCTTGGACCACTGGCATGTGGTAAAAGCAGTGCTCTTTCAAGATTAAAAATGCAATGCAGTAATGAAAGCAAAGAACTTGGAAATAGGGCTATGCTGTCTGGGGAATTTTGCCAGCCCAAAAACCTTACTTGTCTAAGGTCTGCGAAAACCTTACAGGATTAAAAATGGCAAGGCCTTCTTGCTGAAATACATCCTAGATCAGGCATGGGCAAACATCGGCCCTCCTGGTGTTTTGGACTTCAACTCCCAGAATTCCTAACAGCCTCAGGCTGTTAGGAATTCTGGGAGTTGAAGTCCAAAACACCTGGAGGACCCAAGTTTGCCCATGCCTGTTCTAGATCATGCTGGTGTCTCATTCTGGAAAATAAGATTAGGTTTACAGTAAAATATTATGAATATACAAAATGATTAAGGGTTGTCTACCCACAAAAATATTTCTTTTTCTCCAGAATGAATAATCAATTACACTGTTGCTAAAACACAATATTTTATCTAGACGAAACTATGAAACAATTCCCACCCAGGTGATATTTCCTATTGGCCAAAATAAAAGTGCAATGTTTGTCCCAATCTTAGGTAGCTTTTCATTTTGTAACATCTCTAACTTCAATGTAAAAAAACCCCCAAAAACTACAATTTCCTTAAACTTAGCCTTCCCCAATCTACCATCACTTGGACAAATAAACATCAACTTAAGTCAAACTACCATGGACAATTGTTTCTTCGTCAATGTTATCCAAACTAAACCTCACATTTCTTTCCCTGCTGCTGTCCGTCTGTTTACCTTGTTCACTATTATGCTTCATACGTTTTGGCCTGAGGCCATGCTTCCTACTGAATGTGTGGTGAAATAAATAAGATAGAATCGTAGAATCATAGAGTTGGAAGAGACCTCGTGGGTCATCCAGTCCAACCCCCTGCCAAGAAGCAGGAAAATTTCATTCAAAGCACCCTCGACAGATGGCCATCTAGCCTCTCTTTAAAAACCTCCAAAGAAGGAGATTCCAGCACACTCCAGAGCAGAGAGTTCCACTGCTGAACAGCTCTCACAGTTAGGAAGTTCATCCTAATATTCAGGAGGAATCTTTTTTCCTGTAGTTTGAAGCCATTGTTCCACGTCCTAGTCTCCAGAGCAGCAGAAAACAAGCTTGCTCCTTCCTCCTTATGGTGTCCCCTCACATATTTATTTATACATGGCCATCATGTCTTCTCTCAGCCTTCTCTTCTGCAGGCTAAACATGCCCAGCTCTTGTCCATACTCTGTAAGAATATTTGCTACCACAGAAGTCTCTTAGATAAGGCTCCATTCTTCTCCTTCCCATGCTTGGACCTTTTTCAGGAGCACTATTTTTATTCTATTTCTTATTTTATTTAATTAATTGATATTATATCCTAACATGGGACCCATGGCAGTTTTGATTAATTCCATTGTTAATTTTGCATTAGTTCATTAAGGAAAATACTATCTTGCTGCTACCACCAATGTGACTAGATGGCCCTTGCAAGTCTATGATTTTACATCAAATCAATAAATGATCAAATCTGGACAGGTCAAAACTGCAAATATGGAGGGACTCCTACTTGCTTATTCCCAAAACAGTGTCTAGCTGTTCCCATTAAGTTTGATAAATGGCCTGGTCATGCTTACTACATAGAACCCAAAGAACACCACATCTGCTGGTCCACATAGAGCACACCTTGAAGTCCTGGTGCCCAATCCTGGGAGGGATTAAAAGGGGCAAGGGGTCAAGGTAAATGACAGGCGACCAACTGTTGGAACTGTAGGGCCAGCCTTGAAAGGAGATTCATCATAAGTGGATGTGCAGGTGTAATAGGGATGACCTGAGGTATTTTCCACCCTGAG